GCAGAGAAGCCGGACTTGCTCGAACGGTCCGCTGGAAAACCGAAGATCAAGGACGCGGCGACGCGGCCCTGCCACAGCAGCCGCCCGTGGGCAAACAAATCACTCTCCAGCGTGCCGCTGTCCAGCAACCTCGAATCTGTAGGGGAGGAGGGGCGGACACGACTTGCAGCGGTATTTTGAATTTGAGTGCAGTAACCGTTTTGGCCACATTCTTACATACAGCGCCTTTAAAGGTCCATTGTGTAGGATTAAGTGGCATCTAGCGGTGAGGTTGCAGAACTGAAACTTCTCCCATGTGCCAAGCATGTAGGGGAACTATAGTGGGTGACGTGAAAGCTCAAATGGCCCTCAGTAGAGCCAATGTTTGATTTGTCTGTTCTAGGCTACTGTAGAACATGGCGGACCCCATGGTAGGGCTGGGCGATATAATGACTATGTACGATATATTTTTAAGTAAGATATAAATTTAGGCAACTCCGTTTATATTGATATAGGGTCAAGTTACATTACATAACCCGTACCAGTGTTCATCTCTCCTCTCTCACACTCTCTGCACAGCTCAGCGCCACTCACTCACTCACTCACTCACAGTTTCTCCAGCAACACTAAGAGACACAGAGCTGCTCCTCTGTTTAATCTTGCATGTGCTACACTTAATCAGTCTGTGAGATGAATGAAATTATGGCAGTAACATATGTACAAAACTGTGGGCCTTTTCCATTGTTACTTTTGGCTGCGCCGACTAAAGCATGCCGATTTGCGTGTCCATTATGAATTCAGACACACCGTGCCATGCTGAGCTGCGCCAGAGATGAAACTTCTCCAGAGTAGGTCCAAAAGCCGGGCTGTCCACCCTTAAGGAGGTAGCAGTGACGTCTCGCTGACCGCAGTCAACCCCCGACGACCCCCAGTCTTCCCCCCAAACAAGCGTGTGCGATGTGAGACTCTGCTCACCTCTGTCTGCAGAGACCAGAGAGAACGGCGTTTTTAAAAGTCTCCTTGTGTTCAGCTCTCAGTATTACTGTAGCTTCTAACTGAATCTCTGTGGTTTGGGGTTTAGTTTCTCTCCTGCGTCCTGTTTTTACTTTACATATCTGCTTTATTTTACTGTTTCATGTTCGCTACCCACCGTATTAGAAGTTGTGTGAAGCTGCTGCTCAAAAACTCAACATTTCCTTACTTTGCTGCTTCACAATAAAAGTTTTTACATAACAAAATAACGGGGGACTTTTATTGTGAAGAATGTATAGGAAATTAAATAAAGGCAAGTCTAATAATACAGCAGGGAGGAAGAGAAAAAACAGCAACAGTGAGATGTTGATGAACTGCAGACAACAGGCTCTTACTACATCTCTACAAACAGCTTTCCTCCAACATGTAAACTTCTTTTACCTGCTCTTTTACCTGCTGTCAGGAGAAAAACTACAAGTGGGATTGTCGCTACAGTGGATTGTGCTGCAGGATGCAGTTTAATCCTTTTTTGTTGAGTTTAAGTCAGATTTTACAAATACCATTTCCAGCACAAACCCTCTGGCATTAAATCAATTACTTTAAGGCATTATAAACATCATAAAATTAGGGTGAAAATACATATAACCAACCTGCTTCTTTTGTTTGTTATAAAACCTGGGAATTTGGGGTGAAAATCAGCAAAAGTGACTCTTAAAACTGTTTTTATCTGCTCTGTTTACAGCTCAGCCCGCAGGAGTGCCTGAAATCCTGAAAAAGTCACTTCACACTTGTTCAGTGGCCGGCGGAGAAGAGGTCTTTATCATTGGCAAGAACTTTCTTAAAGACACCAAAGTCATATTTCAGGAAAATGTTTCTGGTAAGAAATGATGATCTTTAGAATCTGATTGTCCGCAGACATTATGGTTTCATGCATTTCAACTCTTCTCCAGTAAACACGCTGCTGCATCTTTTGTCTCTTCCAGATGAGAAATCGTGGAAGGCAGAGGCTGAAATCGACATGGAGCTGTTTCACCAGGTAAAATGTGATTGCTCTCGTGTTCTTTTTGCACCGAATGATTAATGCCAATTACTAATCAGCTGAGTAGATAGAAGCAGCCATTTCAGATTTGTTTGGGGCTTTAGATGTAATCATCTTAAACGGCTGCTGGTTCAAAGGTTTGAGTAGTCTCATTGTGTTCTGACCTAATTACACCAGTCTCAGAGGCTATACTGAGTGTGTCTCAACAGTCCAGTTTAAACCTTTGCCCTTGTAAACAAAATCTGCAGCTAATAGAAGAGGCTCTTGTGTTGAACTCACTGGATGTCATTTTGTTTTTTGTCAAAGGTACGCTGTAGCACAGTTTTATTTGCATTCATTGTGTCTGACTGAAACGTGTGGTGTGTATCTACAAGGCCTGAATGCATTTCCTTACTAAAAAAAACATTACTTTTCTGAAACCACCACTGTTTAAGTTGGCTAGTGATCATCTTTTCTGCTCTTCTATGAGGCAGTGCTATATTTTTCAAAGCTTTACTGCCACCAGCTGTTGAAAGGTGGAATTAAAACTTGATTAATCTGAGGGAGGAAGCTGTTGCCTCTGCCATTTGGTAGATATGGCCACACAGAGTTGGGCCAATCACTGAGTAATAATGTCCCAGAGATATGAAATGTAGGAACTACATTATTAGCATAAATGATGAATATTTTAATGCTAGAGTGCAGGACATTTACATATAAATGAACATCCATTATATCCAAGCCCTTGACAAACGAGTTCACCCTGGCATCTGACGGTGAGGACTGGAGCTTCCAACCAGCCAAACTTCATCTGTGCGCCAAGTGTAAACTCCCAGTAATGATTCCTTCAGGGTTCATTGTTCAGGAGGATTTTATAAGGAGCCAAATTATCTGCAGAGGCCTCTCCAAAACAAACAGACCAAGTGATTTAAACTGGTAACAACCCTGAATAAAGCAGTTTCATGTTAAAAATCAGTGTTTTTCTGACGCTGTTTCACTCATCCCAAAGGGACTGATAAATATGGTGGCCGACGCAAAAATGCAAATGACCCTTTCTAGAGCCAGTTTCAGGTTTGTCCATTCTGGGCTACTGTAGATACATGGCGGCGGCAACATGATGGAGGAGGACCTGCTCCCTATGTAGATATAAGTGGCTCATTCTAAGGTAACAAAAACATAACAACTCCTATTTTCAGCTGATTATACACTAAAGAAAATATACTTATTCAATTTCTGCCAGTAGTTCCTGCTAAATCCTACACACAGGATTTAAGATGCAAATTTAATCCTGTAAATTTATAAGACAAATATTTATAACTGAAAGCAGCTGCATCACAGTGTGAATCCAGTCTGCTAATTTTTTTCTACCTCCAGTCCAGTGCACATTACTACCTCCTGCAGTCATAGAAATGTGCCCAATGCTCATGATGTGCCAGCAGGGCACAGAATACCAACAAAGTGCTTACCAAATATTGCTCTTCAGTGTCATTCGTGTTCAAAAACTCTACAGTGTACCTTTAATGCTGCATATTTATTCACTGTGTTCTAGTCAACTCACCCTTTGACTCCGATTAAATTAGACCTACTGCAGTTCTCACTCTGTTGGCTGACCTTTGTCTTGAACGATCACCCCTTTAGAATCACTTGATAGTGAAAGTTCCTCCATACCAGAACCAAGCCATCACCTCTCCAGTGTGTGTGGGAATCTACGTGGTGACGAATGCTGGGCGATCCCATGATATTCAGCCTTTTACCTACACTCCAGAGACAGGTTTGTTTACTAAATCAAAGTTTATTTTATCTGCCTCTTTTTACAATCAACTGATGGGGAGACAAACTTGTTAGTTAGCATGCAAAATTCTGATGACTAGGATTTTTACAAAGTAGTTTTAAGATGTCTGGCACCACAACTCTTCACTTAGTCTCATGGCTTGAAAACACCACCACCTACAGTTTAGTATCACAATAGCACAATACACAGCCCATTTCTAAACACAGGAATCAACATCCTGGACTTTATCATCATCATTCATCAGCACTTTTTGTAACTGTAATGACTTTAGTACAAAATTTGAGAAGATGTGAGCATCAAAGTAACTTAACTCTTTTTGTGCTTTATGTTTAGATTAATTTTCTTTTCTTTTAATTGTGTCAGCTCATAAAGATAAAAATCTGTTGATGTTTGCCCTTGCAGTGAAAAATGATGTTCCTGTGAAGAAAGAGGCACCTTCTCCAGTGAAGACATGTTCATTTGAGGAACAAATTAAAGGTTAGTTTCCCTTTCACTACTCTACATCATAGATATATATACGTAGATGCCGCATTCAACGGTGCTCCTCATTGGAGCGATACGTCAACACGGCCGCCATCTTGCCCAGGTGGAGCCGCGCT